CTTTAATAATAATATAAAACTGTGATTTATATGATATTGATGATGATTTTGATGATGATTTTGATGATGATTATGATGATGATTATGATGATTTTGATGATGATGGTGATTTTGATGGTGGTGATGATGATTTTGATGATGATGATGATGATGATGATGATGGTGATGGTGGTTTTGATGATGATGGTGATGGTGGTTTTGATGATGATGATGATTATGATGATAATTTCGTAGTGATGATGATGATTTTGATGATGATAATGATGAGAATGAGGATGATGGTGATAAAGAAACATTGTCGGTATTACTAATATGTAAGCTTATGATTAACTTTATACAGAATATATTTACTACCGTAAAAAAAACATGAAAATAGAAGGCAGAATTAAAAAAGAAAAATGGTCCACTTTGTATTTACAATAAAATTAAGCATTTGCTGACAATTTCAAATTTAAATGTTAAAGATATACTATGTTCATCCTTGAGTAAAATATTTTAACCAAAGACATTTATTGAAATCTATAATTCTTATTGAATATGTCTAATCTGAATAAAAAAAATGGATAAACTATGAATTAAATGCTACGTTCCCTATTACAGGACAGGTTAATAATCATGGTATTTTCTATATATAAAAACACTGCCAGTGTTTTAACGATGCTATAATATTCATATTGTGACCGCATGTAGTATATAGTTTAAAACATGACATATTTACTTTGTGTGGAGTCTAAACATGTATATATTATACTTACAAAGAGGCTGTGTAGCAATTATCAATATTTCCTTTATATCAAATTTGAGCATAATCTATCCTTAATATTTAAGAATGTGTTGTTTTTTATGGGGGTGGTATTATTATTATTATTATTCTTTTTATTATTTTTTTATTATTATTATTATTATTATTAATATAATTATTATTATTTAATCAAGTAAATAAATAGTCATGGAATATATGTGAAACTAACGTCAACAACTAAAATAGCAAATGATAATAAATCATAATTATAATGTACAATTATATCACATCTGTGGCCAAATGAATTACTGCGGTTTATGGCACGACAGCTTGTATTGCCCATCTCTATTACCGCATTAGTCAAAACAACATCTGGTACATTGGTGTTGTTCATCATTTCACAGCTTTCAACATACTTCCAGACAGAAAATATGTCCCCGAATTAACAAAATATATTTTCGCTAGTTAGCAAAATAGGTGACATCGTTTCTATTACAGCTGAACAGAACACATGCTTTATTTAGATTTGTACTGTGTTTATCATCTATAATACAATATTTACTTTTGGCCATTGAATAAATAAAAGGATTTTGTTGTTATTGTTGTGAAAAATTTAATAGAAATAACGTCAATATAATGTTAATAGCGATCAATAGATTTTTCACAATTCGTAATTTTAATATATAAAAGTACAAGAAAATTAATTAATAAATGTATATAATACGAAATAAAAAGTACAGACATACAAAAGGGAAAATAAGCAAATTGAATCATGATGTTTAACGCTCAACATTTAAAAAGAGTCTGTTACGAAGTTTGATCAATGAATTCATTCATTTGCTATTATGGCTCGATAATTGTCAAAACAAACATTACACGAACGGGCTTCTAACATATTTAATTTCCAAATATTTTTCTTAACTCTGCGTACAATGTAACAACGCAATATATAAATGAAATGATATTCATTTTCAATGCCTGAATTATTATAGCATTCACAACACCTTTCTACTCTAACAATTCTATTTCTATAATTTCTAGAATATTTGCCAGTATTTACTTCCTGAGACAAACTCCTCATTCTAAATCTACAAAAATAAGAAACCTAACATATCTTAGCAAGATATCAAAAATAAAAGTTCAAATCTACATTTAAAGTTTTTTCCACATAAAACACTGAACTATTTTTTAAATAAGCAAACCATTCTTGTTTAAAAGAGTCAGTTACACGACATCTAAATTCTTCTAAAATAACATTTTACGAGTATCAATAGCATTTACATTATCAAATACATACGGAAATTCATAATAATTCAATAGAATTTGGAATCTAAACCTATTAATACGTATATAAATATATAAGAGATATATTTCCAGTTCGTCTTAAGCACTAGCATTGAACATGTTAGGTTGAACTTTTAATACACTTTTAAACAAACAACTTTAAATGTATTATTTCTATCTCTTTAGACATAGTATATCCCCAGATTTCACATGAATAATTCATTGACACAAATGAGTCAAATAACTGATCTGGGAAAAATACAAAAACATCAAACATGCATTGCCTTTAAAGATTAATCACTCAAATATTCCTCATTTAATATAAAATTGCCCGTATAATTAAAACAATTCCAAAATAATTAAAATCATTAACTACTTCAATATATTGGTCATTACAGTTTGAAACTACTGTTTGATTTGATTGTAGGTGAAATCGAAAAAAATCATAAGTTAAAAGCATAAAATATGTTTCATTTCTTTATATCATTTATAAAAAAATCAAATAAAAATGTGCAAGTAAAAATTATAGGTTTAAAAAAGAATAAAATGTAAGAAAATAAATAAATTGTTGTAGTTTCCGATTACCGTACCAGTAATTATTCCTTGATTACATATCAAATGAACCCGTCGACTTAGATTTATTCAATTTCAATCATTATCATAATAAATTTTGGATAAATAAAGTAAACACTTAAAAAAAATCTTAGATATTATCAATTCATCAAATACAATTTTTGAAATTAAAATGTCAGCAAGGCTACACATAACAGCACATTCGTCTTTTTCAAGCGCCACGTGCACACAACGGACAACGTTAACGTCATGCACATTTTTCTATACTGCCAACGATATGTATTATCTTTAAGATCAGTCCAACTGCCTGGAAAAATTAAACACCACTCGAAAACTTTTGTTTCATAATAACAGGATACTGATGTCAGGATTCTGTTACCATATAAGATATTGCTGGAGGAGACAAACGTTTGTGAAAGTGCCGTTTTCCGGGACCCCTTAATGACGACGTTTTCGAATAAATAAACGTTGCAACTTCAAACCGTTGGAACTTGATTACATTACAATCCATTGTTCAAATGGGTGAATTTTTAGATAAGATCAATTTTTGAATCAGGCACTTCGATCTATTATAAAATTTCAACGTATGTCGCGGTTTTTGAGCTGCGCCACTGTTGCGTTTCCATGGATATTAAAGTCGGTCTGAGACGGTATTGGATGCCATTAAATCAATAATATTTTGCATCTAAATAGATGAAAAAATCAATGTTTTCGCACGAATAAATTAAATGAAGAAACGGGAAATTTATCCCAATTATAAACAAAGTCTGGGTAATTCTGGATCATCCCTCGTATAACAATTATGCTTATGCTTTCATTGCATTTGAGTGGTCAGGTGTTCTAACAGGGAGAGGTGTACAAAGATCCTGGTTCGAGTCATACTTAGGTAACGGCCATGCTACTGACATGACATCATACGGGTTGTTCAAGGAAGCGGTTTAGAATGTTTTTTTTAATGAGCTGCAAGCTTTCTTCCCTGACGATCTTGGTAACACATAAAATTAATGATGTTTACTTAAGTAAGTGTTATGCATTTCTGTGCAAAGTTATGTAAGGCAGTTCACACACATTCTATAAAATATGATAAACAAAATCAACAAGGAAAGGCGGCGCTCAATGAACGCAACCCCCACACGGCCCAGCAACAAGAGCCAGCGGCATGATTGTTCTAATCATAACTCGAAATACTCAGTCACTAAAGAATCAATCGCTATTTCAAGCATCGGATAAAAAAACGTTACACTCTTGCCCTTGACCCCATGTACTAGTAATTGTAAACGAGTTCTTCATCCTTGCAATTTTAAAACAACGGAAGACAGAAAGTGTCTATATTTATTTGTTAAGTTTTATTCTGGACTGAAATAAGCAACGGGAAGGGAAGGGATATTAAAGTCGGTCTGAGACGGTATTGGATGCCATTAAATCAATAATATTTTGCATCTAAATAGATGAAAAAATCAATGTTTTCGCACGAATAAATTAAATGAAGAAACGGGAAATTTATCCCAATTATAAACAAAGTCTGGGTAATTCTGGGTCATCCCTCGTATAACAATTATGCTAATGCTTTTATTGCATTTGAGTGGTCAGGTGTTCTAACAGGGAGTGGTGTAGAAAGATCCTGGTTCGAGTCATACTTAGGTAACGGCCATGCTACTGACATGACATCAATACGGGTTTGTTCAAGGAAGCGGATTAGAATGTTTTTTTTAATGAGCTGCAAGCTTTCTTCCCTGACGATCTTGGTAACACATAAAATTAATGAAATTAATTCATGGAAGGGAAGGGAAGGGAATATCACAGGCTCAGGTTTGGTATGTATGAAAACCATGAACATACTCAATCAAACCGAGCCTGCAACATTTTTATTTTGCCGTTTTGGCCTTTCTTTGGAGATTCTTATTTTCTATATTTTAACGTGAGATACAATAACTAGATATATTTTACCTGCGAAACGACTGCCATGTCCCCTGGCACAGCTTGATTTTTTGTGTGAACATCATACACAATAATATGTCAAACATGTTAAAGTGGCATAGAGAATAGCCGGTTGACATATCATGAATGAATTTTAAAACTCCTCTGGTTGCCTCTGCAAATACACTATCTCCCTACATTGTTCCAAAACAAAGTACAATGCCATCAACAATTCAATAATAAATCATTTACATAACAAGGCATCAATTACCCAAGACAAATATATATATTTATTTAGATAAATTGAAATTACTCCTCGTGACATCTTTTTTTATATTCTCTGATTGCGATGTCATTAAAAACCGATTGACTATTTGCAATCAGTTATATTGCGACACGTGGCGCCTGCCCACACCAAGTAAATTTGTATTAATCTTTCCTCTGCGTATATATATGCCCAGTTCTGTTTTGCAATAATCATATTATATCTCATAATAGCAGCCAAAGCAATATGATTTGTACTCAAATAAAAATCTGTTGGATATTGGTAGTTGTTTTGGGGATAATGTTTGAAATAAGCGATGCGGGTTTAACTGTATGCAATTGTCATTACCAAGATGGTGGTTGTCCGGCCGGCCAGAAAGAGTCAGGAAAATGCACTCTTGGAGGAAAGGTGAGTTCATTATATTTTTCTATAAATAGATGACGTATTATTTACCTCAGCTAACTTATTTCGGGGACAGTTTGGTAGTTTTGAATCGATGATTTATTTTATATGTTCCAGGAAATTTGGTAATTTTGAAATATGTTCTACAACAAAATCAAAAGTAAAGCCATAAAATAACAGTAAAATACAAGTTATTTTTCACTGGTACAAAAACATTTGCTAGTACATTGTAAATTGATAACAGCGTTAAGAGCAATTACTATTCTTGAATTAGAAAAAAAGAGACTGACTTTAAAGTGACATTAGAGGTAAATTCCGATGGATATTTATTGAAATTTCCTTAGGTCAGTTGATTTAATTTGTTGATCATACGAAGTAAATTATAAAATTAAAGATTTTTACGGCAAAATATAGACTTATTTTGATTTTAACGTGTTCAATCACTATATACCATTGGGTAGGCATAGTGTCACTTTAGTGAACTTTAAAATTGCTATTTAAATTTTGAGTAAATATCGAGAAGAAATTTATTAAACGAAATAAATTTGATAAATATCTGGAAAAAAGTGATTCCTCGGAAGCGTTAAAACAGCAAAATTACATAAAAATTGCAGATTCGGTTTGAGTGAGTCTGTACATGAGGGATTATGAAAAAGGTGCAACATCCCTCAGACGTGTTCATGCTAGATTTGCTACAAATAAAACGTTTATCTTTTTTAAGAAATATCCCCGATGCTGCTTAACTAGTGGCGTTGACGACGGGTGTGACTGTAAAGCAACATGCAATGCGAATGAATACCAGCAAGACTCGTGCACATCCGGGCATATTTGCTGTCCTAGACAGCCGAACTCACAGTACTATGATCCTGATAGGGTTCAACAGCAGTAATAAACTGGACGTTTTCAGGTAACGAACCATCTCGCCATTGCGATAATCATAATAATGAACTATATTTTTTATCTTTCATAATTAATTTAGTCTCTAAACTAAACTTTTATGGCGCAGTGTAATCTTTTTTTGTTTTGCACATATAAGCGTCAATTGAAAGATTTATAATAATTTCAAGTTATCGGCCTTCTATTTTAAGCCGAAAGCCGGTCTGTTTTTCCGTTTGACTTCCTGTAAAATATACAGGGAAGAACTGGATATAAGAAGCGTTTTCATTGTCATGACACTGCAACACTGCTTCATTTAGGCACCTTCTTATATATTTAATGATGGTTGGGAGAAAGGTTCCATTTAGATTTGTAAATTTTAAATCTCAAAAATTATAGAAACCTGTATGTTTTTTGTGGTTTTTTTTATTTCAGATCGAGAAGAATCAATGCATAGACCAAGGACCGTGACGTTTTACCTGAAACAAATAAATTGAAAACCTTAAATGTTGTTTTAAGATAGTGAGTTTTAGTAAATATTGAAGGATAAATGTAGTCACAAATCATCTGTCAATATTCTTTGTTGTTCTGCTTTTCATTCCAAGTTCATACACTCTGAGATTGTCTTGATACATTAATGTTAAGATATTAAAATTGTGAATTACAAGCAATCTTCAAGAAGACTGAAAACGAAGCTATCATGGATATAGTATGAGCAAGGGCTGTAATTAAATGTACCCTCCCTCCTGCCTCCCTTCTCCTACCCATTTAGAAACACACAAAAAACATTAATGGACACACAGGTTACTTTAATTAAACATTATTTAGAGAAAAGCTCGATTTATAAAGCACAAAATCTGAAATGAACACCACCTTTTTTACATCCGTGTCTTATTGTATAACGAAACAACAAATAGAGAAACACAACAACATTTATCATTACAACTTTTACACCCCAGGGTCTATAAAATTATACAGTCAAGCCTGTAATAAAAGGCCATCCATTAGAGGGACAAACCATGGTCTTTATTGAGTGGTCTTTATTCGGAGGCTAGTTTTGCGTTTTATCAATAAAGGATTATCTAGGAAGTGGCCTTTACACAGAGCTACCTTTATTCAGAGGTTGTTTTACACATATTTGACTGTATATTGTATTCACAAACGCCGTAATCGAAAACAAATCATAAATAAATGCAACTTTTAGATACCTACGTCTAGGAAACTAAAGATTTTTCGGACATATAAAATCACAAAATAAATAAATAAGTTTTTAACACCGTCGTTTTACAGACTTGACATCGCGATTCATTGTTAATAATTTAGGGATAATAGTCTACATTAGTGTACTGAAATTGCAGTAAGTCGTTTGAGTAACTTCCCACATTCTGGAGGTCAGAAGTGATTTTGAGTGAAAATAACAAAATTCTAATTTGATTGATTGTTGCGCAGTTAAAATGCGTATAGTATATATAAGTTTTTTTCTCTATCATAACAGGATTTATTATATTCTTATAAATGAAATATTGGCAAATATTGATGAAATAAAAAAGCTAAATTTCATTTTCCGTATTTTAACTGTAAAATTTTATTTTTCACTGCAGTGAAACATATTTTCCTATTTTCGCTGGACTACTTTTTTTTAAATTCTGCCAGTATACAAAAATTTGAGGGAAAGTCTTTCAAATTGTAATGTCAAGAAGGGACAAATGTATATAATAAATAGAAAATTCAAGTTTTTTCTATAAATACATGATTTATTTTCAAAATGTGGCATGAAAATTATCATATTTCACTCGTGGCTACAGCCACTCATGAAATATTTATTTTTATACCACTCGATGAAAATAAATCATTTATTTATAGAAAAAAACTTGAATATTTATTTTCATCGAGTGGTATGGAAATAAATATTTAAAGGCGGTAGCCATGATTGAAATTTGATTAATTTTCATACCACAAGAGGAAATTAAATCATGTGTTTATAGAAAGAACTTTAATTTTCTGTTTATTATATTTTTTTCTCTCTTTTTTACATTATAATTTGAAATACTTCCCCTTAGATGTTGTTTATTGGCTTAATTTAGAAGAATGTAGTCCGGCAAGACACCAGTGAAAAAACGGAAAATATGTATCACTGCAGTGAAAAAAAAATACTGTGAAAATACGGAAAATGTAAATACGCATTTTATTTCATCAGTATTTCTCAATATTTCATTTATTAGTATATAATAAATGAAGTTCTGGAACAAAAAACATAAGCGACTCACGATACATGTCATTCTCTCCATGTCTTAAACTATGTACATTTAGTTATACTGACTATACAAAGGCTTTGTTATAGGTTATCTTTGTTCAAGGTAGAACATATTATATATTTTTATCCTTAAAGCTGCATGCCTACAGATGAACCAAAATGTTTCAAGAAAATCAAACTTTAAAAAATTATTGAGATTTTAAGAAAAGTCAAAAGATTCAAGATAAAAGTACTAATTTCCGTGTTATGTGCTTTTTTATGACCAATTTTGAAGTATTTTTTAACATTATATCTATTGCGTTACAGTAAGGGGTATTTCTGCATATTATGACTTATTTTCTTTGTTCACTTTACAATACATTACTTTTTAATACAATTTCGTGAAAATTAGCTTGAATCTGGAGGCCTGCTGCTTAAAATTATGCATGCATTAGTACGTCTTATTTTTCTTCCGCAAATCACATCTTTTCGTTCGAGGTATATCAGCGAGGGAACGAGATACTTCATCCCCCAGACATTTCACAACTCAACATTTAAGGGACACTTCACCCCTCAAGACATTGTACTCTTCAAAATCTGTTATATACTTCACCTGTCATCCCCCGTTTTTCTATTGTACAAATTTAAATATATACATGTATTCAATTCGTAAAATGCTTTTAAGAATACAACCGCCATGCGTCGCCCGTGTCAGATGATTACATCATATCGGTCAATGCACGTCAACTACGATAACAAACGTTTTACTTTTTAAATGTTATATAAAATATAGATATTGATCTTTATATTTACCATATCTAAATACAATACATCGACTTGCGACGGATTTAAAAACAAATTTGCTGGTGGGAGCACCAAAATGCATACATGTCACTTCTATTCAAACATTTCGTACACTTTGTTCTAAATACTTTCGTACCCAATTAGGGTCAATATACTTTCCATAACTTTCGTAATGCATATTTTTCAGATCGAAATACAATTGCTATGATTCTGTTAGATCGTCAAATTGGTTTAATTTTTTGTTCAAAATTAAGTTGAAGATTTCACCCTTATGAAGTAAAATTGGTTAATTTTTAAAACATATTAATGCTTCATTCCATTTACTTTTTGTCACCAATATATGTTATAACGATTATCCTTTGATATGCCTGTGCATTTTAAATTCAATGTTTTCTGCCGATGTCCTGCTAAAGAGTTGCTTGTTGATAAGACCAAAAAGACATAATTCTGCCTTTTCCAGTGTTGGGGATGGGGTATGAATGGTAGCTTGCAGTTAACCTTACTGCCCATGAACTTGCTCGATCAAACCGACCCTGAGATTTTTTTCCAAATATTCCAAATTTTGAGCTAGCTTGAAACTTCCCAACTTCATGATCGAAATACAAAATTATCCAAAGACGAATTATATACTTTTGTTGACATTCGAGCCATTTCGAAGTACAAAATCATCCAATGTTGAATTTCGTGCTGAAGTGTAATTCTAAGTCAGTTCGAAGATCGAAATCCAAAATCATTCAAAGCGGAATTTCAAGCTGGAGTTTAATTTTGTGATTGAATTAAATTTCTAGCAAGCTCTAAAATCGAAACTCAAAATCATTCAAAACTGAATTTCGTCCTGGAGTTGACTTTAAAGCCTGCTCGAAAATCGAAATCCAAAACTTATAGTAGTTGATTTTCCAGCTTGAGTTGATTTGCGAGCCAGCCCGAAGATTCGGAATTTCGATCTACAAGCTACCTCGGAATTCAAGTCCAGCTCGAAATTCAGGTTTGACAGATTTTGAATTTCGATCTTCACGCTACCTCGAAATACAATTCTAGATCGAAACCCATCTCATGTAAACTATGTATTCAGATCCTCGAGCTGGCTCGAAATTCAACTTCAGAAAAAAAATCAACTCAAAATGATTTTAAATGTCGGTCTGCAAGCTGACTCAAATATCAACTTCAGAAAGAAATTCAAATTTGAATTGTTTTGATATTGGACCTCCGAGCTACCAAAAATACAATCCAGCTCGAAATCCATCTCATATTAACTATGAATTCAGATCTCCGAGCTATCTTGGAAATCATCTCCAGATCAAAATTTATGTTTGAATGGTTTTTAATTTCAATCTTCAAGTTACCTTGAAATTTAAGCCGAACTCGAAATTCATCTCATGTAAACTGTAAATTCAGATCTTCGAGCTGAATTGAAATTTAACTTCAGCACGAAATTCAAATATTTTATATAATTTAGATATTGGAACTCCGAGCTACCACGAAATTCAACCTCAGGTCGAAATATAGTTTTGAATGATTACGAATTTCGATCTTCAAGTTACCTTGGAGTTCAACCCAACTCGAAATTAATCGCATGGAAACTATTAGCTGGCTCGAAATTCAGTACCAGTAAGAAATGCAACTTTAAATGATATTCAAGTTGCCTCGAAATTCAATTAATGTTTATATTAAAAGAATTTCCTTTTTCATGCCGGCTCAAAATACAACTCGAGCATGAATTCACCAAATGTTTTATCTCCGGGCTTGCTCGAAACTATCTCCAACACTATAGCTTTGAATGATTTTGAATATCGATCTTCAAGCTGCCCCGAAATTTAACTCTAGCACGAAATTCTACATATATTCTTTTTCAATTACGATTATCGAAAAATCAAAAATAAACTCGGATTTGATATATCGATCTTGTGCCCTGGCCTTTTTTTGTTTGGGGTCTGTCTGGGCTCCTTGCCACTGGTTCTTGTTGCTGAGTCGAATGGTGGTTGAGTTCATTGAACGCCGCCTTTCCTTGTTGATCTTGTTTATCATATTTCAAGTTGGCTCGAAGTTCAAAAGTAGCTCATAATTAGGAATATTTTTAATTTCGTTCTTCGATTATTGATGTCACTGCTAACTTCTTGTGCAAGTTACCGTCCACGCCCCCTAGCACCGGCTCAAGCAGAATTCAACATTTAAACATGAAATAGTAAAATTTTGAATTTAGAAACATCCACAGATGTGTTCATACGGCGGTTATCATGGAAGCTTCAATGTGACACAGTAGTGCCATTCCATGAAAAGCGGCGCGTGGACCCCAAGTAATAAAAAGCGTGTGCCCAAAACGAGAAAACAATGGGCGGAACTAAATAAAATGGAATTTTGAAAGGGGATCAGAGGTTATGAAGCCTGCGTATCACAGATAAGACGTCAAAAGACAAATTTAAAGAGCAGGCAACATATCCTAAGGGTGATTCAACTTTATTCAAGTAGGAATATTGGAACCATCCAACTAGAAAATGCCGAAAAGTTGAAACTAAAAATACCACAAGCACAACAATAATGTCGTGCTGAAAGATCTTCAAGGATCGGAAATATAACATCATTGATTAAATGTACGGGGGGACTTTTAACAGCCGCCACACGGCACAAATAACACGGATGTGATCATAAAATAGATAAATACAGAACCCCTAAAGAAAGCCCAACACGGCAAAATTGAAAATGTTCATTAAAATGAATTCAGTCCGTGTGTTAGTAATCAATGTTGGAAGTTCAAGTAAGTGTCAGAACCCCCTCATTGACCACATATTGCTTATCAAATGATTTAATACCATCCACTACCCTTAACTTTAAATCAACCTACACACCTCCCGCCATACTGTCAAGATAATAACATAAATAATTATAAAAATGCGCCAGTTGGACGTCATGTAAACGTGTTATTAACCTAAAGCATTTTAGTAACTTGTATATAAAAGACTAAAATCAGCTTCGGACTACAATCCGGCTTCACTGAAATATTGTGGTGCACAATAATTGTAACAAACATGAACCGTGCTTTTATTGCTGTTCTTGCCATTTTGATGGTTACGTGTGCTTTCGTTTCGGCAGGTATGTACATTGATTTTATCTTTACAACTTTTTACGAACTTATATTCATGTAATCAATGACCAGACTCAATCGAACCGAGCCTGCAATATTTTCTGTTTTGCCGTTCTGGGCGAACTCAATCGATGCCGTTTTTTCTGTTATATTTTCATCAACACAAGTGAATGAAGTTAGATTTGCTTTAATTTTAAAAGATACTTTAAAAAAAATAGTCTGTATACAAACATTTATTATATTTATCACAATAAATATGGATTGATTCAAATAAACACTTGTATCAATTTATTCAATGATGAAGTTATACATTACATTTTCGTCAGGATTTTTTTATTATATATGATCCGTTAATGCTTTACTCGTCAATATTGGTTATTTAATTTAACGAAAATTTGAATATAAAATAGATAAAAACAGAATCCCTAAAGAAAGTCCAACAGGGCAAAATTGAAAATGTTGCAGGCTCGGTTTGATTGAGCCTGTTCATGGACGGTACTGGAAAGTGCAAGGTACCGTCCACGCCCCCTAGCACCGGCTTAAGCAGAATTCAACATTTAAACATGAAATGGTAAAATTTTGAATTTAGAAACATCCGCAGATGTGTTCAACTGGATTTAAAACAAATATTGCGGCTTCTCTAATATTGATAATTTACATTTTGCTTGCATTTGTTAGAAAGCAAAATTGCGCAAGTTTTTTTATAATAAGATCGTTTGTTTCGTAAGAATTATCATGGCAAGACATAACAGCTTTGTCAACCACTTCAAAAGTTTAATGTTTGCAATTTGTAGTATTTGGTGGGGTTTTTTCATTGATTTTTGTGAGGTTTTCAAATGTTTGTTTTCCCTGTTACCCCCATCTTAGTTCCATTAATAATAAAAAGCTAAGTTTAGTTGAAACAGTTGTCATACGATCACCACTACAAAAGCACAAAAAGCATTTTGTTGCAGTCGAGTTTGAAAAAACAAACTGCATAGTTTACAATTTTCTGAAGTGGTCAGTTTCATTTTGTTCTTTTTTCAGATGAGGAAGCGCATAGTTGGTTGTCTTCCCTGTTTCCAAAGCCACCAAAGCATCATTCTATAGAATACAAGACAAGCCGTAACAACTCGAGCTCTCAGAGCAGCAGCAGCAGCCATCACATTAAAATCACCCATAATGGCAAACAGCCAGAAAAGAAATAAAGGTAATATTCAAATCACCCATTAAAAAATAAATAAACGTATAACTTAATGCAAATTAGCTTATTATATTGTATATTAAACGCTAGAGAATGTGAAATAAAGTCATGTGTTATCGCACATATGTTTCACCATTCTTTACTGAGACTACGCAATAACATTTTTTGCTAACACTACTTTCCAAATACAATCTTGTATTCTTAAATTAAAGTAAATTGGTCCTGACAAACAATCGAACAGTACGTTGATTTTAATAAGTATCAGATATAACAGCAAAGAATTATGTATGGATGTTGTTGGCAAAAATAAGATACATCAATATTATAATACAGATAACAAAATTTTCTAGAACAAAATATCATTATTCATCATAATAATTATTCACTTAAAACTTTATTAACATTTTTGTTCAAGCACTATTTTATAGGAGTATCCAATCATACAATTCCATTGTTAATAATACTTATGGGAAATGTGCCCATTGTAGGCCAAAAGCTGTTATAAACTTGTCGATTTGATTATTTATCATTATTCTAAGTAAATTAATCTCTGTCATATAATAATTGATTTTTTAACCTACATTTTTTTCATTTTTCTTTTGCATTTTTTTCTCATGACCATTTTGTTTAGTATTTATTAATTGCAAAATACCTCTGTTTTGAAAATGTCTTGGATATATTTTCAACTAAATGAATTTTGTGCATGATAATGCCATGAACTGTATAGAACTTGGACAGGACACTCATAAGCTTCCATAGCTTTCTGCCTGTATTGTGTAAATATTGTTCGTCATAATGTACATATATCAAATAAAATATGTTTTTACCAATCATTATTCGCTAAAGGAAAATAAATAAAACTAGGGAAAAAAATGAGAAAATCGTTTGACATTAATATTCTATAATACTATTCGAATAAATTACGGTACAGTTATGTTTTTTTCTTTTTTCGATGCCATATGATTTACTGCAAGATTGATATATCTGTAAACAAAATTAATTCATAAATATAAATTGAAATATAATTTAATTTCAAATCATCGCTAACCATTTCAAGATAAAACTTACTTCGACATAAGAATCTTATACAACGCTGTGTAAAACTGCTATTTTCTCGTTTCAGATATTCCCTGTAGCAGCGATGTTTCGTTCACCTACACAATTAAATAACTCGTGGCTTACACCTGTGTTCATCTACTAAACATGTGGGATTTCATTCTTAAATAATCTAGTATCAGACAATATTAAAAAATAAAACGTAAATATTCAAGCTTGTGTTGTTTTAAATGAAAAGTGGCGATCGCCCGATGCACCTTTCATTAAAACTTGTAACCTAACTTGATCCATATAAGATGTTTATTTTTTCTTATTTTGCTTTTATTACGTTGCTATCAAAGGATCCCCTCATCCAAGAGCGTGTTTTTATTTTGATTTGCATCAGTTATATCCTTTTTTAATAAAAATATATTTAAAATGAGTGAGTGAAGGTTAACGAGGGAAAGCAGTCCCCAAAACAATTGATTGCACGGGGTATTTGCAGTGGCTATAAAATGGTAAGGCACCAACAATTTTGTGGACATGGTATTTTATGAGGAAAAGGGGTATATAGTACTTAGCGCTTAGGAGTCTGGTCATTAACTCTTCAAATGAACATGAAAATATATCTAAGGCGTATGCTGTATAATTTAACAAATTAAAATTTATTGCTGTTGATAAGCAGGCCAATATCGATATAAAATACTGCTCTTGTGAATGCGTGAATGCAAATACCTTTCTTACGCACCATTTAGATATATAGTACATCAATGTCAAAGGTCTGGTCAAACAGTTCGAATCCGAGTCCCGACATCTGAAAATTGTATAGTATCTTTCTGCAGTGATATTAACATTTTTTCTCAAGAAATAAGACATGATATACAGAGAAAAAAACATAGTTGTCTTTAAATGCCCATTATGCCCCATTAATGCTTTTATTTTTCAAAGCTATTTACTGTTGGTGATCTTCTTACTGACCAATATCCTCATCATTCATTTCATTTGTTGCTCTTTTTTTTGGCAATAAGTACAGTTATCGTGATTTATTCGTGATGTATGAAAATGAAAACACTACCTCGTTTAAATTTTGCTATTTACCCGGGATGTGACAAATAATTTCACAAGAAGTATGAGCTAAAACTAAAATAAGAATATGGCCGATGTATGACTTGTATATGTTTAAGAAATGAATGTCTTTTACTATTATCGAAGAGAATAGAAGAAATGAAAAGCTGATTCATATTTTTTTATTTGATTTATTTTCAAAAGTAAATTTGCATAGTTTAAAGATTGATATCTCAAAAGTGCGTATTCTTGTAAAAATCCCAACAATTAACGACCAAGAACGCAAGTAGAAGACTAAAATACTATGAAAACGTGTATTTCGGAAATACAACGAAAGTGACTGATCTAACACATCTGAAACACAATTACTAATCCGTTGATCAGTTATAAAATATGAAAGAAAACAATATTGTCAAGGAGGAGCGGCGTTCTCTGGGCGGCGTTCAATGAACGCGACCCCCACACGACCCAGCAACACGGGACCACCGGTAAGTAGCCCAGCACGACACCAGGTCACAATGATGGCATCAAACACATGGGTAGTTTTGATCATTTGAACTAAAATGCAATTACAATAGTCAAATTCTTATCAACATCAGCCTCAGCATCATTAATTAAATAACTATAACAGTGTATTGTTAACTATTTGGAGAAATATTGATGTAAGACAGAAGTATCATAAACTTTTGTGAGACAATAAATGACGAACAAGATCAACAAGGAAAGGCGGTGTTCAATGAACGCAACCCCCACCCGACCCAGCATCAAGAACCAGCGACAAGGAGACCAGGAGGACCCCCAAACAAAAACAGTACAAGGCAAAATTCAAAACAATGACAGGATAATCACCTAATTAATACTTAAAAATGAAATTACAGTAACCGACATTAATAGTGTATGACATATAGAATTGGCTTAAATGATAATACTTTCCAAAATGCTGTTACTGCATCTGCCTAGATGAATTTTCAATTGGTAGAAAATAGGAATTCAGAACGCCGTTAAGATTCAATTTTGAATCTATACCAATTTTTACAGTTTGGACAGCTTTGTTTACAATTTCTCTCAACTCATCACTGTAAACATTGTTGATTGTCATCCAGTGTGGAATGATCCTTTTGAATGATCTATTGTCATCAGCAGACAAACAATATAAGGAATCATATTGAATTGTTATGTTTAAAAAGGTCATCAAACGAGACATTTCAAGGAAAGTGTTTTCTAACAGTCTTTCATAAACAAGAACGTAGGTCGGTTCATTTTTTTGTATCCAATACAGTGCCATGTTCTTCCATCTGTTGACTTGCTTGGATACAAACATTCTCCATCCTTTAAATAGAAAATAAAATTGCAAAAGATGATAACACAACCTTAGTTTCTTACACACGTAAATAAACATGTATACATTTGAACACTGTAAAAAGATCTCTTTTCAATTGAGCTTTGTACCTACGAAAACTAAGGGCTTGGAAAACACACTGTTTAAACACTTTTAAGATTGACAAAAGATTGAACGAAAGCATAAAAGTAAAAGAGAAAAAACATAATCCTATTATAACACTAAAAACGGCAAAATTAGAAATGCTGCGGGCAAAAACTTTTTAGAGCCTCATCAAGACGGCAGTGATATTTGCAAGCGAACTCCAATGTCCCTAGCACCGGCTTAAGCATAATACAACTTTAAATATTTCTTTATTTCTCTCTATTTTTTTAAAAATTGACGATGGTGAAATTTTATAAACATCCGCATATGGATCAATTACATCATCGGTATCAAAGGTTCGGGACCGAAAAAGTGATATAGATATCGACACTGTTTTAAGGTAGGTTATCGTGTTATTGAACGTGGTAGGTGCATTTTTATAGGACTAATAACATATTGTTATTTTATAGTAAGAGATTATTACACGGCAGATAAGGGCCGAAAGGGTTGCATAAATGAAACTTTCTAATCATTTAAGTCATGATTTAGTAGTGTTAAACCGATTGTGTTATAAATTTACAACGTGTAGATTTCACGAGAACGCAAACAAACATTTACCGACTTGGATCAATGAATTGCAAAGTCGTCTGCGTCTAGGAACCAGAAACCGGGAGACAACAGGATTAAATGTGAAATATTATAAATACATGTAGTTATTTAATAAAATTAATATCAAATCACTTATTTATTAACATATAAAATAGAAACGTGATCGTTATTTTAAAAGTAAACATTAATAAAAATTCGATATTAAAACAATTTATTAAAGAACTATACGTTAATAGTCCTATAAAAAAGTACCTGCCACGTTCAATAACATGATGGCCTGCCAATATCGATGTTACTTTTTCGGCCCCGGGCCGAAAAGTGATATAGATATTAAGCCCGCATTTAAAGTAATTTGATTGGCTAATAAGCAGGGCTAAAAATAATTTAGATTTCTGCAAGAAACTGGGAAATGGCAGCAATTTTGTTTTGACTCGGTCTATGTGTAGATGCCGATATGTTGCATAAATGAAACAAAGTATTCTCAGTTTCTAAACATTCAAGTCTTGATTTAGTTGTGTTTAACTGATTGTGTTATAAATTGCAACGTGTAGATTTCACGAATAGAGTAATAGGAGGCTGGAACTCGGATCGACTTGTTTTAAGCCAATATTAGAATTAAATTAAGAAGAAATATCCGAGGATTAAATGTGAAATATTATAACTACATGTAGTTATTTAATAAAATTGTCAATAAATAAATGATTTGATATTTGCCCTGTTATTTGTCCTCGGGTCAATCTTATTGGCCCTCGGCATTTGGCCTCGGGCTCAAAAAATAACAAGGCCAATATCAAATCACTTATTTATTAACATATTATTATATTATTGAGTCGTATTTGTTAAACAAAACTTACTTTTCGTTGTAAACATTTGTTTAGGTGCAACCCAATGTCCTGGGTCAAAATGTGCCCTCGCATTATTGCTATTTTCTCGATTAAATTCTGCAAGAATGGCACTATAGGGATTACGTAAAATACATATAGCGCAAGCAAAATGAAGATGAGCCACATAAATGCGTGTACAGTCCCGGTGACTGGTCGAACTGTTTGATGTTAGGTGAGTTTTTACAATGAATACCCTTCTTCGACTTGGGCACTCGTTTGATCCAACAAAATTCCAATCTGTATATACACTGCCTGTAAAATATCCTGCAAATATAAAAGAACAACAGAATTAGTATGTGAATACCTGGTGGCAGCATTTAAATTAGTTCAGCAAATCGGCATATTATCCTGCTTTTGGCCAATTTCACAACTGCGTGAAGAATATGGCCAAGACAACATAAACATATAAACAGTACATAATAGAGTGCTTGCAAAAAAGGAATATACATATAACCTTCACAAATTGTCACAGACATACAATTTAATATATTTATATTATTAAATTTAGAAGCAGCTTCTACATCGACAAATCGTTTCCTTATTTGAAATGCTTCATACAAATTTTTGGTAGTTTTACATAACTTATTCGTACTCTTACAGGACATAATGTTTGAAAAAAATTACCTACTAGGCCATGAACAATTACCGAAATATTTTGTTCTTATTTCTGAATAAATAGGGCAAGTTTACAGAAAAAATGATATTCAGATTCAACTAAATTGGTATTACAACTTTACAGATTCGTTTATTTCTACCTTGATATCGACCTCAATTTCTTAACTTGACAATCCTTATATATAGACATGGGTTCCAACTCCAAAAAAAACGCATTTTTCGCCCTTAGCTCAATGAAAAGCGAATGACTTTCTATATATAAGGATTGGCACCTGTTTTTTTTTTGTCTGGACCTAGTTTTAGTCACAAATAACCCCAATATAGAGTCCAGGCACCGTTACAACCCCCTTTTTGGAAAAAACTACATTCTTATTTTAATCTTAGATGCCCATAAATTATTGTTATTCGTGTTACAATGTACATTGTTCAAAATATAATTATACATTGTTGAATTTAAATAGATTATTCATTATTCTAAGCAAATATTGAAAATATCTCTCTTTACTAATGACAGAGAGAGGTTATCTTCCTAACTCGCAAAAAGCCGCAGCATTTGGAGCTTGTTGTTTAACGCCTCAAACAATACCTCCTTAAAATCATAAATTCCCCATACATCAGAGCGATACAAAATCATTGGTACAATCATAGAATCAGAAGAGCTAGTTTGATTTCACTCTATAAAACAATTGTAATAGTGAATTATAAGCCTCCAAGGCTTAATCTGATAAAAAATTTAACCGAATTTTTTCAAATTACCTGTATAAGTAAAATTAACACCAAAGTAAGTAAAATTATGAATAAATTCTTTAAAGGAACTCCACTGAGGTTTATAAGGCTAAAACTATAAAATTTTACTTTTTCACATAGATCAACATGAGCACTTACAACAAAAATATCAATAAAATATAACTAAGAAATATACAAGAAATACATTGAAAATCGTATGTTTGTGCCATTCTCGGTCCGATTTGAGTGAAAAGCGTTTAAACGCTTTACAATTTTGTGTCATTTTTCGCTATTATAATAATTATTCTGGAAGAAGGAGCCAGCTAATGACATGAAGTTTTGCCAATAAGTTATTAGTATAGATTAACATCAAATAGAGTAACAATCTCAAAAAAACATTTCCAGTCCCAGCATGTCAAAAACCTCAGTGGAGTCTCTTTAATTTCATCAATTATTCCCCCCCCCCCCCCCAGAAAAAAATGAATGCTTGTTTTCTTTTCTCAAAAAAAAAAAACAATTTTGATGATCTTTTGGACCACATTTTGTAGAATAATTGTGACCAATGTTTAATTGTGCTTAACAAGTGGTTAAAAAGAGTTATATCATCAGCAAAAAGTAACATATACATTCTAAACATTATCTCAAAAAATCATAGAATTCACATCATTAGAATTTACTTAATGATTTTTATTAAACCTTTTTGTATGTTTCCACTGCTTTTACTCACATTACATAGTTTTCACCTTTCTTTTAGGTTGAAAGATCGCTTTGCATTTCACTTTTGCATATTCTTTCCTACTGTAAAGAAAGTTAATTTTATTGTTATCATCGTTGTTTATATCAAACGTTCTTTTCTTGTCAAGAAAAGTATTTCATTAATAAATTATCATTAACGTAAGAGGATACCATCAACCTATATAACAGATATGATAAATATTATATTTGTAAATCTTGTCTGGATATAATATGGATGTTCGTTCTAAAATAGAGAAAAACGGAATCCATAAAGAACACCCAAAACGACAAAATTGAAAATGATGAAGGCTCGGTTTGATTTAGCCTGTCTTTGGACGGTAGTGGTAATTGCAAGCCAACATCCACGTCCCTTGCACCGGCCCATGCCCCCCCCCCCCCCCAGTACCGGCTGAAGCAGAACATTTAAACACGAATACTGTGAACTTTCGAATTTAGAGCTTGTGTGTTCATACGGCAGTTATTGCCAATTTCGTACAACTCCATAAAAGGCGATGAAGGGTAAAAGAAGGCATATGTCCAAAACGAGAAAACAATGGACAAAACTAAACGAATGAAGCTTGCATATGATAGATAAGACGCCAATATACAAGTTTAAAAGTCAGGAACCAAGCTGTAGTAATAAAGCCATTTAATGAAAACAATATTACACTAGTGTAATAACACTTTTACGTAACCATAATTTGTTTTACATATAAACATAGCGTTAAAGCGCGCTTAGATAAGCGTTACACTATAGGTGCGTCATTGAAAAAATACTCGTTTTAACATTTTACCATTTTTATTTTATATATGTGATAAATAGAATATCATATTCGAATAGATACAAAATAGATTCCTGACGCTCGCATAATATGATTTTATTCAACTCGTTCAATAAATTTGGTATTAAAACTACACTCATTCAATATCCTCTATATATATATTATGTCTTATTTTAAAATGTACGGGTGTAATCAAAAGAAATTGCCATGATTGTAACCTGAATATAATAGAGTAATAAAGTAGAAATTATTCTACTAGATTTGTGGCACCATTTTCAGTATACGCATGTATCTTCTTTCAATAACGTCTATGTAGAGAGTCTAAACTAGAGAAACGTCTCCGCGTTATATTATATGGACTCAGTCTTTAACATATGTATGTACTACATTTCGTTTTGTCAAGAATTTAAAAATTGTTATTCTTACCTGTTGCTGTTTCTATTAATTGTCGTGTCCAGGTATTTCCTGACCCAGGAAAGCTTGCTAAGGCAACCAGAGATCTTGGAGCGCTTAGAAACCGAAGAGATTGGGAACAATTGAAATTCTTTAAATTGCGTTTTAGATAATCGTAGTTTGATTTGCCTCCATTTAAATTTACACCATCTTTAGAACAAGTATTTATCAATTCAAGTAAATCCCTTTCTTTGACAATTTTGTATTGGTTTACATTAACGGCTCGACTGCAGCCTCCAAATGACATTACTGTGTGTTTTCTTACAAAAGGATAAGATAAGCCCATAATTATGCAAACAGTCACAAATGAAAATATTTGTTTGTTCATTTTTGACGAATTGCAATACGAAATACGAAGTGGTACTTTAATAAATAAATGTTTTCTTTTTAAAACAAGGTTGTAATCAAGTGAACTATGACTTTTAATTGTTCAAAATAGAGAAAAACAGAATCCCTAAAGAAACTCCAACACAACAAAATTGAAACTGTTGCAGGCTCGGTTTGATTGAGCCTGTTCATGGACGGTACTTGAAAGTGCAAGTTACCTTCCACGCCCCCTAGCACCGGCCTAAGCAGAATTCAACATTTGACACGAAAATGGTGAATTTTTGAATTTAGAAACATCCGCAGATCAGACAAGAGGAAAGACGTCATTTTTGACTCTCCAACTAAGAGAAAGAGCGATTAAAAAACATTCACGGAACTTAATTGCGTAAGTAAATCTGCCTTGTCCGGGATCTGAATATCAAACTAAAAAAACACAAAATCCTTCCGTCCTTTTGATAAACCTTAACACTATGTGAACAGATGTGATTTGTATTGTTAAACTTGTTCTTTAAATAAAACACATAAATATTTGAAACATGTTGCAATAATGCAGAAATGTTAACTTTCTCCGACAGCTTGTTTGGTAACAAAAGCAACTGAAACAAGGTGAATAAAGCTTGTTTAATCATTGAAGCACAAATCTGTCACAAAACATGCATTCTTGCGAGAGTTGTTTTGTAAATAAAATAACACAAAAAACATCGATTTTCGGAATGCCTATACGCATGGCAAAAACAGGTTTACCATTGGTTTTCTTATTTATCTTATTTCTTGTCTATCTTATTAATTGCCATGTACAATTTGTATGAGTCACTCTTTTGTCGAAGTTATTGTTGTAATCTATGATCTGTTGATGTTAGTTTATATTGATAAATCTTTTTTTTTTCAGCATAAGTGAATTCACGATTTCAACTTCATGAATTCAATTTCGTGAATTCACGATTTAAACTTCACAAAATTCATAATTTCAACTTTACAAATTCAAGAACTCAGCTTCATGAAGTTAAAATCGTGAATTCGTGAAGTTGAAATCGTGAATACATGAAGTTGAAATCGTGAATTCACGAAGTTGAAGTCGTGAAGTTTAAATCGTGGATTCATGAATTTGAAATCGTGAATCCTTGAAGTTTAAATCGTTAATTCGTGAAGTTTAAATCGTGAATTCATGAAGATGAAATCGGGAAGTCATAAAGTTGAAATGTCCCCACCTGTCTTTCGTACAAAATTTATAGTTATGTAACATTTTTATGGTAACATGCTTTTGGTAATATTTAAAGAATATACTGCCTTACTTATGCCTCATTTTGTACATATTTTTTATTTCAGCGTTGCAGGTGAATATGTCTCTTCATCAGTAACCAAAGGGAAGAAACTAGGGATATTAAACAGCATCTAAGGAGTCGATATCTAAACGAAATGGCTTCTTTTAAGCACGCAAAATGACTCCTTACACATGCAAAAAAATCGTAACTGTAATTATTAAACATACTATCTTATTAAACATTGAACAGTCTACAGTGTCCGAAAACAATGTAATTTTATTTGTCCGATAATTTATTTCGTTACTCTCTTTAAAAAAATATAAGTACAGCTTTATAAAGCCTAATAAATGAGTACGGTTTTTCCTCCGAAACTAAGGCAAAACTTTTGTCTTGCAATGTTTTATAATGGAATTAAAGTTTGTTAAATGCTTTAATATTTCGAAAAATAAAAACATTAAATATAAATTTTAGGAAGGCAGGAACATTTCTAAGGAATTGAAACAAATATTATCGGCAATAGAACGGAAAAATATTTACAAATTATCAAAATTAATTTCTAAAAACACATAGTAGACTACAATGACAAATGCAAGTCTTAGAACAAAATATAATATGAAAAGTTTCTCCGATAGCGTTTAAACATTTTTTAATATTGATATATGTTAATATTTTTGATACTGAAGAGTTTTTTGTACTCGATCTCATGTTTGAGTAAGTATTTTCTACTTAAACACATACTATTTTTTTCGGGAATAATAATGACCTTGCGCATAACGCCTTGAAGCGGAGAATTAAAGATAACCAACTGAATAGATATTCTTTTTAACGTGCTTAACCTTTTAAATTTTACAGTTTTAACAACAAATAAAAGTAACATAACAAAGTTGGATGTTGCCTTTTTATATATGTATTGTTTTGTTAATAGCACACAGTACGTAATCACGTGACCATTTCCGGCATATTCATAATTAGGTAAACTCTCCAAAATATGGTTCAATACGTGGATTTATGGAATTTTCTTTCTTTTCTGCTTACAAACTTTTTGTTTTTGCGAATGACATCTTGATATTGTAGATGTTTTTGTAATAAATATGAACGTCATTCCATTCAGTTAGGAATCAAAGCATACATATATATGTATGTTGACATGTGTATTTTAGTTTTACTACTTTGTATTAATTTTGCTTTGGTTTAATTTATCGATGACTATTTTACAAGTTTTTTTTAGATATCGAACATTAGGACAGAGAATCAACCACAGTAGTAACATAAAACCTTTTAATGGTGGTTTTAAAAACGGTGCAAATGTGCAAATTGAAGAACCTTTAAATTTTATAACCACATAGAATTTTGTTCAAATGAGTACAATTCCACAAAAGAGACATACAATGACCAAATATTTGATCATATGTCACGTGATCATTTTGTCCATTTATTAAATGAAAAAACCCATAAGTGGATATTTCACTGGCAAAATGAATTGTAAACATTTGTAAAGAAATGAATTGGAAGAAATGCTGATAGAGGCTAGTGTGACATTACATTGTCTTTAAATTTAATCTTTAATTGATTAGGTGGGTCAATATTTTAGAAATACAAGAAATTAATTAACTAATAACAAAATGATATGTGATTAAGTGTCGCAGATAACCCTCCAACCAAAAATGTTTAAAAAAAATCAATTACAAGAACTGTAAAAACTTCTTTAGAAACTCCGAGCGTTCGACAATACTTTTTTCAACAATATCAACAAAATTTAATGTAATTTTGCTTGATATATTAAGAATGGATATTTGTCTTGCATTTATTGCAACCTTTTTAAAAAAATCTCATAAATTTTCTTGAACAAATATATTAAACAGAAATAATTTTCAATATATACGAGCCTATCATTTACGGAATATACTTCTTTTACCGCATCTTGTGATTTATTACGCTTGTTTTGTTAACTGGTAATCCCAAGATAATTGACATGGTCTTTTTACACAAAAAAGGGCATTTTCCATGTTTTGAAAATTGACTGAAATGTTCCATAATTTTAAGACTGCTTCAAAATATCATATCACTGTTTTGATATTGTAATTGATATTTACATTGCTTTTAAAGAGCCTGTATGTTTTGTAATTGAGGTTGTATACCACTCTTACGTGAAATTATATATGTATATAATTATGCTAATACAACACTACTCAAACATCAAAGAATATGTAAAATATGTAAATAATTTTACACATTAAATGTAATCATTAAAGTATATGCATTCATTTCTTATTGGAAACTTTGACTTAGAATTGATAGAATAAATATTTCTAATTACCTCCCTTTATTTAGAAGAAAAATTAAATTCGGTAATATCTTTATAAGTAATGCTTTTTGGAACTTACAATATTGATAAATCTTAATTTGAGCATCGTATTTTTTATATAAAACCTTACAAAAATGTGTTAAAGGATCTTTAAAAAGTTCAATGAATGTTTTAACTTTTTAACTTCAGTTTTATTACATGAAAACTATCATGAATATTATCTTATCTTCTCTGTATGACTGATTTGTGCCATTTGTGTTTTCGCCACGCAACCCCGCTAATAAGCGCCCTGAAACACGGAATTAACTATTTTGTTTGAAGTATCAAACAGTCGTTTGTCTTGAATAATGAGAACAAATTCAAAGCTACGCCCCGCCATATATGGTATAAATATGTTTGAAAAACATACGCCTGTAAACCAAACAAATATGATTGATTCGGAACAGATTTTTTTCAGAAGGGACAAATGATGAAAATGTGTTTTAGTGTATCATTGATGTGAAATAAGGTTTTTAAAAATATGTTACCTTTTATGCCCTTAATGATAATAAAGGTGTAAAACAGATAAATTATGACGACAGGTGAGCATTTTAGTAGCCTGTATATAAAAGACTAAAATCAGCTTCGGACTACAATCCGGCTTCACTGAAATATTGTGGTGCACAATAATTGTTACAAACATGAACCGTGTTTTTATTGCTTTTCTTGCCATTTTGATGGTTACATGTGCTTTCGTTTCGGCAGGTTAGTATATTGATTTTATCTTTACAACTTTTATGAACTTATATTCATCAAATTCATGACTTGACTCAATCGAACCTAGCCTACAACATTTTCAATTTTGCCATTTTTTGCGTAATTCAGCGATTTTGTAAAATCTATTTTATATTTTCATCATTAGTGATTAATGCAGTTAGGTTTGCTTTAATTTTAAAACATATTGTTAAGCAAGTATACAACCATTTATTATTTGTCACTACAATATATACTAAACAAGTGTATAAATCTATTCAATAATGATATATCTTTCGTTTTCGTGTTAATTATTTCATTGTATATTATGATCCGTTCATGCACGTCAATATTGATTATTTAACAAAAATTGTTCATGAGATTGGTTTTAAAACAAATATTGCGGCTTTTGTTATATTAATAATTTACATTTTGCTAGTATTTAATAAAAAGTTGTTATATTTGTGCAAGTTTTTTGTAAAATGTTTGTGTTTAATAAGCTTCGTCAACACATTTTAAAAGTTTAATGTTTGACATTTTGTGTGTTTTGTGTATTTTTCTTCATTGCATTTATGTGTGGTTTTCATTTGCTTGTTTCCATGAATACTAAAAAGCTAAGTTTAGTTGAAACAGTTGTCATACGATCACAAAAAAACCTCAAAAGCAATTTTGTTACGGTCGAGTCTGAAAATAAAACTGCATGGTTGAAAATGTTCTGAAGTGATCTGTCAGTTTCATGTTGTCTCTTTTTCAGATGAGGAGGCGAATAATTGGATGTCTTCCCTGTTTCCAAAGCCAAAGCATCACTCAATAGTATACAAGACAAGCCACAACAGCACGAGCTCCCAGAGCAGCAGCAAAAGCCATCACTTTAAAATCACCCATCATGGCAAATAACCAGAAAAAATAAAGGTAAGATTCAAATCACCCATTAGGTCAAGCGAGATAAAAAAAACAAAGTAAAACTTAACTTATCCTGACTGTATTATAATTATAGTTATAACCATGTCCGTGCTCTGCCTTGTGCTCTCTCCTGTTTTTGTTTGGGTTCTTTCTGGGCTCCTTGTCGCTGGTTCTTGGTCCTAGGTCGTATGGAGGTTGCGTACATTGAACGCCGCATTTTCTTGTTGATCTTGTTTATCATATTTAATGCATGTTATCAAATTATATGGTATATTAAACGAAAATGTGTTATCGCAGATATTTTTCATCAAACTTTACTCAGTCTACACAGCGACATTTTATGCAAACACTACTTCCCAAATGCAAGCTCTGATTCTTGTTACTAGTAAGTTATTTGGTCCTAAAAAACAATCAATAACTACGTTGATATTATTTTATATCAGACATAACAGCGAACTACAAAAGAATTATTTATAGATGTTGTTGATAAGATTCATCAATATTAAATAGCAGGTAATAATTCTTTTTTTAGATCAAAATATCATTATTCATCATATTAATGATTATACTAATTCACTTAAAACTTTATTAACATTTTTGTCCAAGCACTTTTTATGGGAGTATCCAAATCATACAATTCAATTGTTGTATAATACTTATGGAAAATGTGCCTTGTCGAATTGATTAATATTAATCATTAATCGCTTAGGAAAAATAAAATAAAACTAGAAAAAAAATGAAAATACGAAAATAGTTGTACATTCGTATACTTTCCGAATAAAATAGGTACAAATATGTTTAATTCTTTTTCTGTTGCCACATAATGAACAAATTTACTATAAGATTAACATATCTATTAAAGAATTTAATTCATAAAGACAAACTGAAATATATTTAAATATCAGATAATTGCTCACCATTTGAAGATAAAACTTATTTCGACATAAGAATATAATACAACACTGTATAAAACTGTTTTTTCTCGTTTCAGATATCCCCTGAAGCAGCGATGGTTGATAAGATTACTAATACCTAACACCTGTTTTTATATACTAAACACATGGGATTTCCTTCTTAAATAATCTAGTATAAGACAATATTAAAAAAATAAAACGTTAATATGCGAGTTTGTGTTGTTTTAAATGCAAAGTGGCGGTCGAAAAAGTCAAGTCACCCGATGCACATTTCTATGTTATATACCTCTCAATACCTCCGGTTTTTATTATTTTCTAAAAAAAAAATTGGTGGGGTGGGTCCCCCTGAATTACTCACTGTTTTATCGGATTATGGTGGGCTTTTACTGCCCTATGAATTTCATTAAAACTTTTAACATAATTTGATCCATGGAAGTTTTATTTTATCTTTTTTTTCTTTTATTACGTTACTTCAAAGGATCACATTCTTCAAGAACGTATATTTATTTAATTTTCATCAGTTATACCCGTTTTTTTAATAAAAAAATGTCTTGATATTTTATATATGTGAGTGAAGATTAACAAGGGAAAGCAGTCTGTAGTTTGGAAAATGCATTTCAATTGAAAATTCGCGTTCACTAGAATTAAAATCCAAATTGTTGACAAGAAAACCGCAAGTTTAGCAGCCCTTCAAATTTCGCTTTCGTTTAAAGGACTGTACATAGTGGCCTGTTCAACAAATTGGACGGCATGCACAATCCCTATACGTGTAAACAACTCAACAAAAATAATAATTAAAAATAAAATTCACTTACCTATTTCTACAGTTGTTATGCATGCCAACGGGAGATTGTGAGCATCTTATAATTAATCCATCAAATGGAATTCAAAATGACACAGTTCACTGATTCACATTTATTCCAAAAATGAATTACTGCCAGTTTCCACAGACAACATTTAATAACTCAGTACGAAGATGTCAACTTCTACCCTTAATCAGATTACGTGTGATTAAGTCCGAGACAGACAAAATCCACGTTTTCCATGATATTAACCTCAACCTGACACAATGACACAATTACTGCATAACCTGACTGACCTACATGACATAATTAATGGGTTTACACGGTGTGTAAATCAATCGACCAATCAAATAACCTGATTAAAATATCTACAGACCGGGTCGCGCATTATTAAAATCCATGAGTATGACTAGAATGGACTGGTATCAATATCATTAATTACGGAATAGATTTTTTTTTTCACTTTCGTATAAATTCCTTCAAGATCTTAAATAAAAGTTGTCCTCTGTGATTACGTGTATCATTAGAATTTGTTCTCATGTCTATGTATATTACAGACTGAGATAAATTTAATAAAACTTGAAAAAACTTGAGTCCCAAAAACACATCTCGTTGCATGGGGTATTTGCAATGGCAACAAAGTGGTTAGGCACAAACAATAGTGGTGGCCATTGCATTTTAGGAGAATGGTTGTATAGTACTTAGCGCTTAGGGGTCTGGCCATATTTACCCTACAGATGAACATGAAAATTAATCTTTCTAGCCATGCGTATGCACATAAAAGTTGATATCAGGTCAATGTCGATATAAATACTGCTTTCGATGAATGTAAATACATGTGTTATATATTGTACATCAATGCATGCTAAGGATGTCAAATGTCTAGTCAAAGAGTTCTAATCTCAGTCCTGACATCTGAAAATTGTATAGTATCTTTCTGTAGTAATGTGAATATTTTTCTGAAGATATAAGCCATGATATGCTAAGAAAAAACAGAGTTGTCTTTTAAAAGACCATTGTGCCTCATAAATGCTTTTATTTAAATTCTTCAATAGCTTTTTTATTACATGTGGTGTTTTTGTGGAGTTTCCGAAACATATTTACCAACCATCTTTTTTATTCATTTTTTTTTTTTTTTTTTTTTTTTGCATTTGTACATTTATAGTGATTTAGTATTTTGTATGGAAGTCAAAGTACTACTTTGGTTACATTTTCCTTATTTGTGTGGCAAATAATTTCACATGAACAATGGCGTACAAATTTAAAAAAGGGGTGTGGGAACTAAAACTAAAAGTTGAATATGGCCGATTTAATGTGTATATATTTGAGAAATAAATGTCTTTTACTTTTATCGAAGAGAATAAAATTAATGAAAAGCTGATTCATATTTTCCCTTTTGAGTAATTTTTAAAATTAAATTTGCATAATTTACAATGTGACAAATTATTATAAAAATATTTAAATATAAAATAAGATTGAAATCTCAAAAGAGCGTATACTTGTAAAATCCCAACAAGTATCAAACAAGGCAAAGAACATATTTACTTTAATTGTATCTTTTTCTAAGTAATCTAAGAAAAATAACATAAATAAAAATAAACAAATTTGCAAGCCTTAGTTTTCTCCGCGTTTTTATAAGAGTGACAGGCTTAGCGGACAGGCTTAACGGCCATATCGAGTTACACTGCTAATGAAGAATTTATTATCAAAGTACTGGCCTCTATTGTTCTCAGTTCGATTTGAGTCAAAAGCTTTTAAACGCTTTTCATTTGCAGGTCTGACATTCTACATAATAAAAATGTGTATTCCGGAAATACGAAGAAATTAAATGATCTTAAATTAAGCACATTGAAGTTTATCAAATGGTAACAAAATAATTAAAGATTTCCAGTCCCGTCCTATCAATATCCCAAGTTGTGTCCATTTAACACACAGTTTACGTGGCATCTTATCCGCTGCAAAAACAGTACTTTTTTACCAAAAAAAACACAGCCATCATCATATCCCGTCCTGACGTCAGACTTATCTTTTTTAAGTTGAACAAAACTAAGGGAAATATTCTAAATGTGCTACATCTAGTACACATTTGGAATGTAATATCTTTTGAAACACAGTTACTAGTTCGTTGATCAGTTATAAAATATGAAAACCCAAAATCAACAAGGGAGGGCGGCGTTCATTGTGCGGCGTTCAATGAACGCAACCCCCACACGACCCTGCAAAACGGGGTCACCGGTAAGTAGTCCGGCAGGACACAAAGACACAATGATGCCATCAAACACATAGGGAGTTTTAAACATTTGAGCCAAAATGCAATGATAATATTCAAATTCTGTTTTACCTTAGCCTCAAAATCATAAATTAAACAACTGTAACAGTGTATTATTTACAATTTAAAGTAATATCACTGTATCATACAGTGATAGTGACGTGTTCTGGAATAAATTATGGTAGTATACATATGATAGTAGACTGAATTTTTGTGAGGTAGTCTTCCTAATGGTGTATGACATAAAATGGCTCACTATAAACATTGTTTATTGTCACCCATTGTTGAATGATCCCTTGAATGATCTTTTGTCATAACGAGACAAAAAATATAATGAATCATATTGAATTGCAATGTTTAAAAATACCATCAATCCTTACCTGTCAATGAATATATATTTTTTTTAACAAAGGTTAGTATTTAAAAGTGAATTAGTCTGAAATGGTCACATTTTCTAAATTTATATTAAATTTTAAATATTGATGAAAACAAAAATGTGTAAGTTGGGTATTCATATAAATTTCCTCTTAATATTTTTTTTCTATAAAACTTTTTTTCTGCCATATATTGATACTATATTGTATAAAACTTCTATGTTTTTCTACATATTAGCATATTAGTGTTTTTGTACACATTTTAGGATTAAAAAAAAACTTTCATTGACAAAGTTGCCATGATTTTTATGATTCTTGGAAAACTTGAACAAGATGTCAATAGATAAAATAATGAAGCAAAGTCTATGAACAGGGAAGTTTGAATAATCGTTCATTTTTATTCTACATTTTCCGTTTTAGAGGTGCCATTAGGTATTTCATGCACCGCTTCAGTTTTCAGTCGGAACACCCCGACGATTATTGAGCTGAAAAATTGCTATCGGTCCGTTATCGGAATACTTCGCCTATTTTAATTGAGTTACATTGAAATAATGGCGCCCAGTAAGATATGATACTGAACATTTTACTGATAGGTATATAAATCCATATTTTTTCCTTGTTTTTATATGATTTCCTTTAAATATACGCGTTTAGTCTAGAACCGGGCATGCCAAAGTATTTGACTTCCCCGTATAGTGACCCCCCTATTATGCTTCATGTATGTTTTAATACATTAAATCACAAATATGTCCGAGAATAAGGGCATTTAATATAATCATTCTTGCAACAGTTGTTCTGTTAAAAAACATCGACTTTCCCATCGGCATTTTTCTGATGCTTATAAGCATGGCGGAGAAACAGCCTCACTATCGGTTTTGAAATTCTAGTACAATATGAATCGCTCAATTGTCGCAGCTTTTGTACTTTTAGTTCTGTTGGTGTTAGTTCCTAAAGGTAAGTCATTTTGTTTTCAGCATAACTTCATAAGTGAATATTCAGATATCATTAATGTTGTTCCGAGTTACTGATACTACGAAAAATTTTTGACTTCTTTTGAACTACATATATTCCTAATCCGGTTATACCTGTAACTTTATATTGTTGCCTTCTAATGCGCTTTTATTCATTTTGTTTCTGAATATATAATAATTCTTAGGATGTATATTGATTGCGTGTCAATTCAAAACTTACCCTAAACATATAGTTTTTGTAACTGTTTTATAATAACATGCTTTTAATTTTATTCACAGTATTTTCTGCATTACTTTTGCATCAGTCTGTACATATTTTATCATTTCAGGGAGCGTTGAGGGCGAATATGTCTCTTCATCAACAGCAAAAGGAAAGAAAATAGGGATATTGAAACACGAATCTAGGGAGTTGGCGTCTAAACAAAATGGCGTCTTTATTGCACGCAAAATGACTCCTGACACTGGCAAAAAATAATCATGTAATTATGAAGCATATTATCATATAAATCATTTAACAGTCGGTAGTGTCTGTAAATTGAAATAACGTAATTTTATTTGTCCGATAAATTATTTGTTAATATCTTATAAATGTAAATTTTAGAAATTATATGTAAAGCTTCATAATGCCTAATAAATTAATACGATTTTTCCTCCGAAACTAAGGCAAAACTTTTGACTTGCAATGTTTTATAATGTAATTAAAGTTTGTAAGATGGTTATCATAAGAAAAAGCATTAAATATGAATTTTAAAAAGGTAGGAACATTTCAGGGATTAAAACCAATATTGT